CAGAACCGTCTTTTTTTCGAACTAAGATGACAGGTGATGACCAAGGGCTAGCAGAGGGGCGTATTATGTTTCGTCTTAACATGTCGTCAACGTTTTCTTCAATAAGCTTCCACTCAACTACTGATACGTGATATGGCCGACGACGAACAGTTGACGTACCCTCAGTCTCGATGCGATGCGTGGTGACGCACGTCTGTCCCAATACGGGTGAATGGACGTCAAACAATGCTTCGTGCTTAGTCAGCAAGGCAAACAGTTGTTGGGTCTGCAAAGGGGTCTGGTCAGAGCTGATGGTAGTTTTGAGGGTGGAGGTGGATGGGGAACGTGCAACAGAAGGATCTTCAGGAGAAGCGTCTTGAAAAGCTACTACAGATTAAGGCTCCGGTGTAGCGACGCAAGCCAACGTTAAGCTCTTCGGAACCAGAATTTTTTCGGGCATCAGGTTTGTTGCGCAAACGAATGCGAAGCCATCAGTCGAAACGTATCAGACCTGATGCGAAAGCTATTCCTCTGGTGACAAAGCGTACGGAGGGTTGTACGAGCACATCACCGTAGTCAATGACATCAGACAGAAGTGCAGCAATTCGCTGACTGTGCGGAGGTAGCTCAATGTCTTCTGCAACATAAAAACGAAGTGGTGTGTCATCTACGTGAAGCAAATAGGCGGTATCGTTCATGTGTAGGACGCGTTGCCGGCAGCAGATAGGATGCGAATGCCATTGAAAGAAAGTCCCATCCAAATATTAGCTGTTGAGTACACGAACTAAGCACTGCAAATTGCACATAATGGAGAAGTCCATCAATGTAGACACGAGCAGTGTACATGGTGGAAGGTCGGATGGCGTCCCCTTGAGCAGCGAGCAACGTAGGTCCATCGTAGGGCGTAGTAACTTTGTTGAGAAGTGACACAAATCTCTCTGAATTACTGAGAAACTAGCACCAGTATCTATTAATGCTTCCACTGCTATGCCTTCCACCGAAACAGATATCATATTATGAGGATGTTCTAGGAGGAATTTTTCCTACTTCGCTAAATGCAGCTTTCCCCCCAGAAGCTGCGTAATTTAGTTTTCCGGGCGAGGGTCGGCGAACTGAGAGCTAGGTCGAAGAGGCGACGTAAAGCGACAGAGAGGGGACGGCGAGTGATGCCTGGCACCACGGTAGCGAGGAGCCATTTCAGGAGTTACTGATGGTGAGGAAGAGCGACCGTGAAGCGTAGCGTAAGGACGGTGCTGGAAAGTGGTTGCTGTGGCATAGTCATCTCGTTCGTAAATGTCAAACCCACGACGTTCGTCTCGCTGACGCTTGCGGCAGACACGTGCGATGTGTCCAGGATATCTGCAATAGTAGCATGTAGGTCTCGTCGGGCGCCATGATTGATAGTATTGGGTGTTTGGGCTAGGGACTATGGAGGCCAGGTGTGCTGGCGCCGGCCGTGCATAGTAAGGCTTGTTTTGCATGCTGGGCGCCAGGGACGCCAGATGGGCTGGCGTCGGCGGCGGCGGCGGTATCGGTGGAACGAAGGCTGGAGTAACTGGGGCGACTTGCGTGTAAGTCAGTGGGGCTTTAGAGACGTGAGGGTCTGTGTACGCATTACCAGTCATAGCTGCCAACTCCTCCTTGACGACGTCCCGTAAATTTGTACTGGGGGTGTCAAAAGGAAACTGATGCGCTGGAAAACCGGGCTACTGCAGTTCCTCTCGTATCATAGTGCAGATCATGGCTCGAAACGAGGGGTCGGCAGTAGGGTTGTCAGGAATGGCTGCAGGAGAGTTGTCCAGCTGCAGCCGTGCAGATTCGAGCTCGTCCGGGCGCTGGCACATAGGTACAATGTCAGCAACTGGTACTGGGTCCTTTATGACCAAAGCATTGAAGGCAACAGGCCCTATGCCTTTGAGCAGATGGCGCTCTTGGTCTGTCTTTGTCATGGAGGCGTTGACACGTCGACAGAGAAAGAGAACATCCTGGATATACGAGGTGTAAGACCCGCCCTAGTTGTTGTTTGCGATCATCAAGTGTTCTCTTTGCCAGACTGGCTTGCAACTGCCGTAGTAGTGAAGACTTGTCGCAGATGTTCTTTGAAGACGTTCCAGTTGGGAAAGTCGATCTGGTGGTTAAAAACCAAGTCTTCGCCACGCCAGTAAGATAGAAGGAGACGTGGCGGAGCTTGTGCGGATCGTCCCAACGGTTCGCTGCACTCACTATGTCATATTGGTGCAGTCAGTCGTTCACGTCCTCATTTTGAGTCCAGCAAATAGAGGGGGCTTGCGAGGGGGTCCACTGACGATCCAAGAGTGAGTAGCTGCGGCAGTCGAAGGCGGAGGGGTAAAGGGAGAAGCGCCTGAGGGCTCGTCCTGCGGCATGCTGGTGGACACGTAGCCCAAACGGTGACCTGAGCGAAGCTCCGGAAGGTGGAGTGGGCGAGCAGGGACGGGGAATCGAGGAGCAACCTCGACCACTTGCGAAGAAGTCCTTTACATGCCTTTATTACGCCTGGAAGACGTGGCCAAAAACCACCTCCGTGGTCACCTCCGAGGCACAGAACCGACTCAAGAGCCTTATCCACTAACGATGAAGATGAAGAACACTAGGTGAAGTGAAAAAACAGCGCGTAACACAGGACACAGGACAGAGAAGAGACGGACGGCGCACCGTCCGTCTCTTCTCTGTCCTGTGTCCTGTGTTACGCGCTGTTTTTTCACTTCGTTGACCATGTACCAACCGGCCCAAATAAGCACTTTAACACTAGGTGATGATGGTTTTGTACAGGTGATGAAGAAGCATCTTTAAATGCCCACAATATGTATATATATGTGTGCTTGTGTTTATTATATTTAGACATCTTTTACTGTGTGTATACTGCTGATTACGTGTTACCATTGCACTCTTTATTGTGAAGCTTTATTTCTTTTATGTACACCGCAGTCTTATTATCTTGTCGCCATTCTGCATTTTTCTTTTTTTCTTCTCTTTATTGTTCTGAAATGTATTACTTTTTTAAATATATTTTTTGAATATGTATTTAAATGTTATCTCCCCCCTACACTAATGCCTCACGCACATGCTGTAGGTATTGTAAATAAATAAATCAATAAAGTAATGCAGCAAAGTTTGTTTTTAACAGGCCACTGTACAATATGCCATTTACAGTGGATGAAATCAGCGTCATCTTTCTTCGAAATTGGGCACATAAAGCGAACTTTTTCTGTGTTGATGTGGACTGACAACTGACTTTACCACGCTACACTCTGGGCACTAAAGCCACAGTAATTTTAAATTGCGGCTGGCAATGTTGTGGTTTCTGGCCAAGCCAAGCTTCCAGCAAATTAAGTCTGAGAGGATGTTGGTCATCCTATCACCCCAATGGTTCAAGTAGTGAAGCTTACTGAAATGAGGCGCACATAATTGCATAATCTCACAACAGTGCACGTCAATTTCTCTTTAGGAATTTCTGTTGGGCTAAGTGTAAATAAAATGTTTTTATTTGTGTTTGGCATGAGGTGGTTGTCACTTATTGCAGTAACGTTGTCAGGTATTGCGACCAAATTCTTTGTAAAGGCGTAATGCAGGTGAGGTGCGTCGGCATATTTGCATGACAGTGTGAGAGGTGCCTTGCTGCTCCTCAGAATTCTCAGACCAACTTTAGACCGTCCAGCGAACTGTGGAGGCAGCACGGGATGCTCCCACAGCGAATAAATAGCTTAAATAGGCCACAGCCTATATAGGCCAATACGTGGCCTATTTAAGCAAATAAGCCTTTCCGTTGCTCTAATAAGAAAGAATTCATTTCAAGTCAATCAGCAGAAGTGGCTGAAAAAGCCTGTGAAAGTGCTTTATTATCGATCGGGCTAAGCTTTGCTGCTGTACAGGGGCCTTATAGAGTCTCTGCATCTACAGTAGCGTCACTCTCTCAATAAATAGAATTTCACTTCAGCTTTCTTATTAACTGCCGCTCGGGATTGTTTTTCATATAACCAAACTCGATTAATTCTACAAGGCCTTTGTTCAACTCATGAGCATCAGTGCTGGTGTGACTGTCAAGTGTTTTATACGGTGGAGCAGCTTTTTTGCACATAAAAAGAAGAAATGCTTAATGTGCACTACTTGAGCAGGGCTGAAGCCATCAGCGGGGCCTGTGATCGCCAAGATTTTTCCAGCTTTTTACTTGTTTCGAGCGTCTACTTAGTCGGCTCGATTGGCTTCTTAGTGGAGACTGAATCAGCTGGGTCTCGGTTTTTGTGGTAATGTTAAAGTTGGTCTTAATTAGTCAGTTTGTAATTAACATGATAATAAATAATTCTGTTTTGATTGATATGGTTTTAATCCCCAACTGCTTATTTTGTTTTTGAAAATTTTTCATTTAACCAGGCCACACACCTGAAAATTATTAGTAAAAATTTCAGACGCCTTGTTCTGTATGGCTGCACTTTTGTGCTGTGGAAGACAACAAAAAAAAAAAGATGAAAAAAACTTCCGGTTTGAAGACACCATCTAACTTTCTTTACCACCCTTGTTGTGTCACTGCATTCTACTAGAGCCAATGGATTGCAGGCATGCACTTAGGGCTGGATTTGACCTCTTGGTACTATTAGATCGTTCTAAAGGGAGTGTTGCCAAGGCACAGAAAGTTTGCTGCAAGTTTTCTAAGCTAGGGCCATTCTGCATAGCACCCCATCAGCCTGCGTACGTAGGATGGTGATGAGCTGATCACTGAATTTTCTTTTTAATGACATTTACCTTGAACCATCAGTCAACAAGTCTTTAGGTCTATAAATGGTAACCTATATGTGGGACAATGCATGGAGAGAAATAGGCTGTGTTAGATTTATGCGATGTTCCCATACCCATTATTGAAAGTTGAAATACTATTTGTGACCTAGATGAAATGAAATTTCAAATTTGTGATGCTGCTGTAATAGTAATCCTGGAATCATCACAAGTGACTTGTGTATTACTTATTCCAATCTCTCCACACCTTTTCTCTGTACTTTTGTTTTCAGAAATTCTCTAACAAGTCAGACATGTGGAGCTTTGGCATCCTGCTGTGGGAGATTTACTCTTTTGGCCGGGTGCCGTACCCACGAATTGTGAGTCACAGCCATTATTTTGGTTATTGCATGATCAATGGCGAAAGATTGATGTTGGTTTTCAGTTTTTCTTGTACATTTTCAAGTAGCATTCAGCTGCACAAGTGGCTTTGACTAAATAATGTATTGTTTCTTGTCTAGCTTCTGCATTGGTTTATAAGGCCTTACATGCCTCTTTGTTTTGTCTGCTCATTTATTTTTATTTTTGTACATACTTAGATGTTCGATAGTCTCCAGCACTATTCGATTTAAGTTCGAATCGATGTGAAATTTCTATATTCAGAAATCCTTACAAAGGAGTTGTTTACTCAAAATATTTATGGTCATAGTAAGTGGGCTGTCTGTCTATTTCTGTGCATATCCATTACTGTCTCTATGGCTGTGATGTCCTTTGCCAAGCTAGCAGGTTTGATGTATATTTGATGAAGCAGCATCATCGAAGTGGAGGATATCTCCCTGGCCAAAATTCTACAAAGCCTTCCAATATTGCAGCTTTATAAGCTCCATCGTTTCTTTGGAATATTAAACCAAGTGTATGAATCAGGGGTGTCTATAGGCACTTCTGTAATGTGAACTGAAAGTGTGTGTTATTGCCCTACAGGAATGCTGCAATCTTAAAAAGCAACTAGCAATTGCAGCCAGTCATTACTTGTGCAAAAGTATCATATATACATTATTATAGGCCGGCATATTTTATCAAAACAAGAAATGCGAAGTTGGGGCCAGGTCGATGTACAATTAAGTATGAAACCAGTTAAACCTCGTTAATACACACCTGTCCAAAAACACACCATAAGAGCACACTAAATAGTTATAGTATAAATTAATTGGCATATACAAATTTGCATTTCTTGTCAAGTGATATTACCACCCACGGAAATATAAGTAGTGTGTCTGCAAAAATTGCCAGGCCTTTTCTTTTTTTCTCATCAAAGTGGAGTAAAGATTCTGGCACACTCATGCAGTGGCAACGATGTAGGGAATGTTGAAACTAATGCGCGTCTATGTATCTGTACCACGATTTGCTACTAAGCAAGAGATGATCGTCAATACGCAGTAGGGCTGCATGGAGCAGATTGTTCCCTGGTTAGTTGCGTGCAGTGCATCACTTACTTGGCTCACACTGTCACTGCATGTAAAGCCACTTGCTGTACCATACGCATGCATTTGCGATGAAAGTATTTTTTTTATCCACATCAACTTCGCTCCAGGTCATGCACAGATGTGGCGAGTAGCCTGCTGGGTTAACGTGGCGATGACAGGCTTCCTGCAAGCCATGCGCTTTTACGATACTTTAGCAGTTCTGGAAGTGAACAGAGGCACGTTTGGGTTGTTACCTATTAAAAGTGTGCATAAAGGTTGTAACAGCGCTATGCTTGCAATACTGCACGTGGGCATTTTGCTAGATAATGACCGAACAGCAAGGTTTGTCGGCACTTGAAACCAGCAACGCTCACTCTGAAACAACAAGCTGCTTTCATTTCTATAAAGTAGTTTTGCTTGAGCACTTTCCTGCATAACAAGACTGCAGCAGTTGGCGGCCCAGTGTGTTTGGGTTTTGACATACTAAAAGCTGTGCACTAAAGTAGTGCTACACCGCATGCATGTCTAAGCAAAGAGCTGAAGATACTTATTATGATGTCATTGCCACCTCACCTTCCTTCTTTCCTGATGATTACTCGCAAAAGAATTGGAACAGTCACGCAGGAAGTCGTAGTCATTGGTCAACCTATCTGTCCTCCTCAAAAAGATTGAAAACTTTTTGTGGCACATTGTGACATCAGCGAGTTTAGCAGTACAGTAAAATTTTATGGCCCGAAGAGTTATCGTGGTACTCGTGCTATGCACTAAGCTGTAGGTGGAGGACAAACCGCTACATCTTAGACAGTCAGTGAATGCTTTATACTTTACCGAGATTCGGTTGGGAATGAGTCAGAATTATATTTTAATCGTTAGTATGTTTGAAGTGGGTACATAATAATGAGGTTTCACTGTAGGGCTACTAGTAATGGCAGGAAAGGATCTATGTGGGGTGCTTGCAGCATTAGTCTTCTTTTATGCACTGTTCATAGCACATAATTATAGCATGCTTGTCTAAAAATTATTTTTTTTATTTTCCAATTATTACCAAGCCATTGTTGGCTGTCAAAAGTTCTGCTGGTATAGTTAGCAGTGTGGCTCTTCCATCAATTATCGACACTTCCCAAAAAAAAAAGCTGTACATGCCAATTTTAACTTCTGATTATTAATGCAAATAAATGGCCATTAGGGAATACGTTCATATTTTTTTTCTTGGATTCACGATTCTTGGAGGTCAATCTAAATTTGAGCCGAATTGCAGTCGTTTAAGTATGGTAACTTTACTATAGCATGGAAATAGAGCTCCAGGGCTGTGTGGTGTGTGCTTTGCAGCCCCTGGCAGATGTGGTGCGTCATGTGAGCAAGGGCTATCGCATGGAATCGCCAGAGGGCTGTCCTAGTGATGTGTACGAGCTCATGCGTGCTGCTTGGCAGGAGGAACCCCAGGAAAGACCCACCTTTGCGCAGGTAAACACACACTACTCACTGCAGCAAGGAAATTAACTGGTACAAATAGTACAATAGAGTCTCATTAGTATACCGAACCTGAAGGGATTGGAAAAGTATGTTCCATTTTAGCACGAGCTCCATTCACCAAGAGATGAGCGGGGGTGCAAAATACAAATACGAAACCAATATTATCAGAGGCCGTTGTCCCATTTAAGGGGGCAGACTGGTCTTTGTGACCAAAAAAAGTGACAAAAAAATTCATTTCTTAAAATTAACATATTTGGTTTCTGCAAGTAATTTTCTATCTCTCTGCAAATTTTCGTACACTAGAAAGTGGTAATTTTTTTGTAATGTCATTCTAACTGTCCAGATTCTTGTTACTGTTAACATGCAAACCTGCAAAAAAATGGGGAACAGACTTCAAAGCTTCTTTATAATTTGCCGGCACCTGTGTTAGAAGCTCTGCTACGAATTTATGAGCACCTTTATGAGGATTGCGAAACTTGCGCATCATGATTGTTACTTTTTGAAGAAGCTGTGTGTTTTCAGTTTTTTTCCATTTTTCTCAAAGAAGTAAATTTACCACTGTTCAATTTTGAGGCTTCAATATCTCGTAGCTAGGGCAGGTACAACACTAATTATTTTGCAATGGAAACCTGTATGTGTGTAGAATGCAAGTATGGGAGCAGAATATAGAGCACAAGCCTTTTTAATTAATTATTCATCAAAATGATAGCACAATACCGGCTGCTTTTGAAAATGAATAGTTCATTTTGCTGTAAAATAACGAGGAAAGGCCTAAAAACTAAAAACTCTTGCATACTTTTAATCTGTAGTCATTAGTCTATGTTGGCATATGTTAAATATCACTTTTAATTAAGCACTTTTTTTTCTATGGTGGCCTTAAGCAATAGGGGACGAACTTAAGTTGTCTCAGGAACAAGATGAGTTACAGGAAAACTAATTAAACATTTGAAATCAGCAGAAAAAACTGCATAATCCTGTGCAGTTTGATCAAGACAACCGAAGAAATAAACAAACAAAATGTCTATGACCTGTCTGCCCCCATAAGGAGCACTTATGTTTAACAGATTTTCGTTTACTGAGTGTTTATTGTTGTGAGATTATGCATGAAATAACCATGGTGAAGGTAATGCAGTAAAGCAAATATACAGTTTGTGTCAAGCAGTTAGTCAGTGGAATCCTTGAATTAGCTTTAGTATGCGGCCTGTTCAGTATCTCGTATTTACAAGCTATGCCTGCCTATATTTCAACAGTATGCGGCTGGTGCTCTACAGCTTTACCATTATGTTTATGATGTGCTGAAAGAATGATCAGTTTTCTGACAATTTTGGTGACAAATATATTCTTTGTTTAGACTTGTTTAACTTGGACACATCCTAGTACTCTTGTGCATTGCTGTTTTGAATACGTGTTTGCATTGATACGATATCATTCACTAATGATCGTGTTATGCTTATATGGTTGCTATGACTAAAAGGTGAATTAGAATCATTACAATTTTTGCATAATAGCAAGAACAAGAACAGTGCGGCTAATATGGTTTCATGCACTTTGAGTTAATGAAGGTGTAGGTGTTCTCATTATTCACAGAAGGGATTCTTTGAAATGTTAGACTGAAAGCTGCAGGCAACACATGTGACAGGGCAATGTGATGTCTTGCTACACAGGTGCTTCGCAAGCTCCAGGGTTTGAAACTTGAAGCTCAGCATGTCATCTGACAGCGTACTGTGAGTGACTTCCTGGAGGCTGCGGCTTCAGCTCTTGGAGACTCATGTGCGCAAGTTCCGTCGTCTAGTAGACAGGACCAGACGGTCGACAAGTGTTGTCCTTGTGCCAGTGAATTGACTCTCGTACCAATGCAAGGACTGAAATGCAGCACACCTGTTATCAGTGGCGTAGCTGCAAGCAGTGCAGGGGTAGATGACGCCACGGTGAACGCCGACCACGCCGCTCTTGAGGATTTGAGCTGCACGCCACTCTCGTGTGTGGAGATGCCTGTGTCAGACACGTGTCCACAAGAAAGAACTCAAACGCGCAAGTCACTTGGTTGCGGTGCAGAAGCTGTGCCTGCCCATACGAGTACATCTCCCTGTGAGGCATTGAGCAATGGTAGTGGTGCATTGAGTGCCACACAAAAGCCATCATCGAGCAGCCTAGGAGAGCACCGGACACGAGTCTCTGTGGCGGGTGCCTTTGCACTTTTGGTGACAGCCTACCTTCAGACCCAGATCCCTCCATAGGTGACATTCGGTGTGGCTCTTAGATGTGCACCATGCGGGGTGACTTCCACTTTGAGTTTTTTTTTTTTTCTTTTATCCTGTCGTAGTTTTCTGTTTCTCCTTTCTTACCTTGTGACGCCCGTTTGCTATTAGGCAAGAGCAGTTGTCTTCTTATTATATCAATTTAAGCGATACTCAGTTTAGATGGGGGAGTATATCCATGCACTGCCTGGATGCCAAGATCCATGCAGAGTGCTGTCGTTTGCTTCACTTCTACTGTGAATGTGCTTAAGTGCCCATGAAGTGCATATTTGCTCAGAGAAACATGATATCACTCAGTGTGGAGTAACTGTACCAATTTCTTAACACCCAACATGTAGTGGTGCACGAAAAGACTGGCTTTTTACAAATTGTAGTCAGTGCAGTGTGGCCAGCTGGTGGATAGAGTGATCAGCAGGCATATCTTTGTCTACCAGCGCCTGTTTACTTACCCAGTCAGATTCCTTGCTATGTTTTTTTTTTAATTTTTTAAAAGCTTGTGTGTAATGTTACTGCCAGCAGTTTTCTGTTTTTCACATCAGAAAGAAGGTTCTGCATGGAAGAGTGAGAGTGTCTACATCTCTTCTTTTTCCTTTTTGAGTGTCTCGTGAAATTGCAGCTTCCTTTGTTTGGTGTCCCGTGCACTGCTAGAGTAGATATTGCTGGTGGGCTATCAGCTAGAAACTGGCTTATACCCACACTGAAGGAATAATGCTACAAGAATATTCACCTTCCTGTGTTTTTTCAAGAGTTCAGATTTTTCTGCTTCTTTTTTTATCCTGGCGTTTTTAGGTTTGACCAGCGTGAGCAGGCATGACAGTGTTTTTATGTAAAGTCGTGGTTTTGCAACTTCCAAAGTGCATGTGCACATGCATAAGCCAAAGCGAGTGGCAGCATTCTTGTGGTTGTGTGTGTGTATGCGTGTCTTATGCTTGGCAGATTGTGTTAACTTAAATACTGCTGTCCCATTTGGCCTCTTCTACGGGCATCTGCTGAACAACTTAAATTGCCAGAGAAGCTTTCCAATAATTGGATGCTCTGTTTTCTATGTTATAAGCTGTGCCAAAGGGAACAACAGCAGTATTGTATGAAGAAGTCTCACCAAAACTTTTATGAAGTCAGTGCACAGTGAGGTCTGTGCAAAATCTGTGGCTCTCCGTGCAAGCAACAGCTCAAAGTGAGCTTTTTGATGCAGCAGAAGAGCCCATATGTGTGGTGGCAAGCAGAACAGCTTGTCACCACATCCTCTAAATCATTTCTGCAGCTTTGTGCTGGCCTTTATAAACTGCTTTTGCTGCGTAGCATGGCTGCTGGATATATATGCCGAATGAGTTGCACCCTCTTGAATCTTGGCTAAGGTATCTAATGATCTTATTTCGGTCCTTTATCTTTTTAGCATTTTGTCAGTTGTCTGAGCAGTGTCCATTTATTACACCACCACAACCAGCCAGTTGTGAATGGTGAATGATACAAAGATAAAACTGAGTGAATGAAACCTCAGCATTATACTTACCTTGCTTTTGCAGAGCAAGAGCCTGCATATATGAAGTGCTTATTGTCTGCAGTAACACTTTGCTGAAACTGATGTGAACTGCTATACTGTTTTTTACGATGTGATAAGCCTTCCTTGGGCACATGAAATACAGCCAAGTTATTGGGAAAATGCCAAAATTCCTTCCGTGGTGGTGCATTATCTATTTTTCAGTGTAGCAGAAGGTGTGATTCTGGAGTTTCCAAAGACTTTTCGCTATTTCTTGCCTTAGCCGATTTCTGTCACTGTGTGCCTCCTTTTTGGCCTATCAGCATGGCCAGCCCTACCCAGTCATCCGTAGCATGTTGCTATGGTTTAATGTCCGTTGTTCCAGATCTCAGATTGCGGGTGTGTTCTGTCGCACAGTTCTCTCTGTATCTGCCATTTTCGCTCCTCTTGAAGGTTGCCGCCATGCCTGGCTTTCAGTGCCATGACCTTCATGGTATGGCCAGTCCGCAAAGTAGCAACACTATCATGAAGATGTCATTGGCATCTCATAGATGCTACGAACATTGTGCCACAGCAAACATATTCATGCTTGTTCACCAACCAGCGTTTCCAAGATAACATTACTTCACGATCCAAATTTTACCTCTACTAACATACTACAGACATTCTTGGTTTATAGTGGCGCCTAAAGTGACAGTGAGTCAAGCTGGACTGATAGACCACGTTCCTTAAAACCAGTCAACATTGGTCCCAAGAGAAGTGTAGTTAGTTGAAGATATGTACGTCTCTCTTAATTTTCCGATTTTCGTTCTGCTAAGTAAAAAGATGCTGGTGTAAAGCAGGACCTCAGCCATGCGACAGCTGATGTTGTACTCTGTCGCTCCGCTGAGTTGAAAGATACTACAGATAGTTCTGTCAAAAAGCCTCCAAACAAGGATGATTCGCACCTTTCGTATCTTCAAATAATGGGAAGTTTTCATATAAGGTCAGTGCGTTACATATACACTCACCTTGTGTTATTGCCGCTGTGCATGTGTCATACTCTAGGTATTCTTTTCAATACCATTATGCACCATTTTCTAAAATTACATGCATATCCATGCAGCCCTATAGATCCATTGCACTGGTAAAATGAAGTTCTGAGTGGAATTCATGTGAATTTGGGTTTCTGGAGGACCAACTCTATTTTGAGACGTCTATGCCATGCTTATGCAAACCCATCAAATCTGAGACTGTGCTTCTAATGCTCTCTAACATATGATTTTGATCCGAAAGTCGTGGATTCAATGTTAGCCGCGGTGGTTGCATTTTGATAAAGGCGATATGCAAGAAGCCCGTGTAGTATGCGATGCCAGTGCATGTTGAAGAACACTGATTGGTCGAAATTCGTAGAGCCTATTTACTACGACATGCTTCATAATCATATTGGGATTTTGAAACGTAAAATCCCAGATATTATTAACCATGCTAGGATTAACAATAAATTGCCCAAGTGGCTACTGTTCTTTATGTAATCATTGACGATACCCCAAGTACCAGTGAGAACTGGTTCATATGTTATGACTAAAGTCATCCGTCACGTCACTTTCCGAATCAAGCAAGGAATGCTCTTGGTTTCAGTTGTACATGTGTTGTCTGCGGAGATTTATCTATGAACATGGCTTGACTTTTTTTCTTTTTTTAGCATATCAATGATGAAAAATGACCTTCGAAGGCTGGTTGGCATGTAGGTGACTGAGTGCAAAATTTTTGGCTTCAAAGAAATGCAGTTTCACGCAGTTCAGTGGAATGTTGCCTGTTTGCCACAGAAAAACAGAACATACACAGAAATTGAATGTCTTGTTTAGAGCTTTTAGTTTCTATTGGAAGAACACTGGTGGTTCAGTTCCAATCACCTTCAAGCACTTGACATAGGTCTGTGAATGCAGCATTGTATGTGCCAAGTTTTACTCCCTAGCAGGCAGTCACCACTGCAGTTTGTGAACTAGGTTTGATTGCTGCTGCACTGCTGTTATCTTCCTTTGAACCGCCTTCTGCACACCTGTAGGACATTGCTGATCGCTGCTGTCCAGTTACTTTGGCTGCAGATAATATATAGAAGCCCAGCACATATGGCTATTTGTGTGCCGTTTCAGGAAGGAATAACTTAACGATTTTTTTCTATTCTGTCGTCTTTTATGATCTCTCATTGGTTTGACTGTGCCTCAATTGCAATATTACCAGAATTGGCAGGTTCGAAGCGGTAATTAGCAAGGGTAGAATTAGTTAAATATGAGTCTGCACTAGGCTGATCCTGCTCCTTTTATTCGACGAAGATGCAGTTATTTCAGTCTTTATGTGGCTTTGAATGTAATTAGGGCTTTTTTTTCTTATTTCCAAAGAAACATTGCATTGGCTCCAGTTTGTGCAGTGGCACATAGCAGTGTTTCATGTATTTATTTTAAGTTTCTTATTGACAACTCAAGCAACATTTTTATACCGTGCCGATCTTAGTGTGTATGTCAAATAATCCCTTCACCAAGTGCATGACACCCTGCAACATCTATGCTGTCGTCTCGTACCTTCCCTAATGACGGGGCAATTTTATATTGTGAAAATGAAAATTTTTTTAAAGAATAGATATTTCAATAAACTTCTACCATTAAATTTTTTACTGCTTTTAGCCTTGAGCACAGTTGGTACTGTGTCTGTCAATGGAATAATCCCTTTGGACATAATCTGGTTGTGGGTGATTATGTATGAGCAGTGTTTAGGAGATGTGCTCCTCGCCGCTTATATGTGTGCACGCAACTAAAATGGCATTCTTAATTGATATTTTGTTGCTAAATATACGACAATCACTCGAGTTGAGTTCCTGTGCTGTGTTTGGCTTTTGTCTGCCGATCTTTGTGTGTGTGCTTAGTTGTGGAGGTAATTTTTTTTGTCCGCACACTTGTTTTATGGCAGGATTTGTGTGACATTACTGTTCTGATAAGTACAGTGCCTTTGAAGAGAGCAAGGTGTACCGCTCCACACTTGAGTTTATTCTCTCAAAATTGAATTGCTGCTCAAAGAACTAGTGTGCAAGCCATGAGCGATGCTGTTAGATGACCTTTTTGCAGTTGTGAACTCTTATGTCTGGTCTTGGAATATAAGAAATTAAAGGCTTTTCACTTCCTGCCAGGGTGCAGGCTTGTATACCATGCTGTGAATATTACTTCATCACGTGTGTGCTGCTTGGCCGTGGCGTCACGAGGAAAATATCTCATTTTAATGCAAAGCATTCTTTCCCTCATTTTGGCACTTTCCTTGTGGCAGTAGCTGACAAGTTATGTCTCATTGTAAGCTGGTTTAACAAGAATAAGAAGTTTTCTTAGTTTATGCTCCAAGCGTTTTGTTGCACTACGTACAAAGAGCTAGGTTGCCGCACCATTTTCGATCTACCATCACTCCATTCGGAGAGGTAGACACCGACGCTCCCTAGAAGAGTACCAGAGGCTTGTCATCGCAACTGGTTGTTGAATTAAAGTATAAATTGGGAATAAATAGAAATGGAACTGTAACAGTTGCATTTTCCCCCTAAAATTGTAGTTGTGACAGCAGTAGCCGTGTAATATAGTTACATGAACTAAGGTTGGTAGTTTTATTAGCCATCTATCAGTACATGTTAAAGTAATTATGAGCTTACTAATTAAATGAACAAACAGGGGGTCTCAACACAGACGTGAACCCGAAAGCCGCAGGTTCTCTCGCGGTCGCATTTCGATGGAGGCGAAATGTTAAAGGTAAGTGTGCTGTGTGATTTCAATGCACGTTAAAGAACTACAGATGAGCCGGGATGCTGCCATGCACTTGATCACGCGGAAGACTAGCGCAGCCGCGCCATTTCGTGCGATAAGCGCAGCCGAGCGCAGCACCGGAATCACACCCATTCCAAGGATACTGCACACTTCCATATTTAAATTGCGTTTATACAAAGCTAAAATTTTTCAAGCGAAAAGGTTACAATAACATTGCTATTTGTGTTGCAGACCGTGTTTTTAGGCCATCCTGCTGTTTTCGAACTGTAATCGTTTGTCAAAAGTAATCAAAAACTGGAAAAACGGAAACAGCCTTGCTACCACCCTTTTCCTTCTTTATCGGCTCGAATCCACATTAGCCACTCTACGTGCATCGTATAAGTATTGTCAGTTAATGTCGCATGCAGCCCTGATAGCAAACACAGATTTCTGCATGGTCCCATGAGCCGGCAAGCGATGGCGTGTTAGTGTTTTTGTCTGCGGAAAACGGGTAGTTGCTGTTAGTATGGTGAACTGTGGAAGTCGCAATGAGTTCGCTGGAAATCCGTACATGTTCGAGCCGGTATGACGAAAGCCCCTAAAACTTCGTAAAGTAGCAACGTACGTGGTTATTCACGCGCCTCCTCTATTTTCCTACTCCCACCTTTCCGAGGTCAGCGCCGCGTCGGTATTGGCTAGATGCCGTCACGTGGGATCGCTCGCAGTCACTTATTAGTTTGTTTCCTTTCCTTCCTCCGTGGTTTGTTTACAATCGCTCACGACTGCCATCTTTGCTCTGAAGGCGCGGACTCCTTGGGGCGCAGCGCATCTGTTTTGACGGATACGAAGTTGTCTTTTCGTGCGCGCTGCGCTGTGAAATACTTTTCACCCAAGAATGACGTCGCGGATGTCGTGATTGATTGTTGCGCCTTGTGCTACAAGTCGCAGTTAATTGTGTAGGACGTCACGATCTCTCACTCAGGTTTCATTAACGCATTTCGGGGGCTGTTTTTTTTTTTTTTGTCTACGATACATGTTTACGTGTTTTGCTTCTTGTTATGCGCCGACTGGTTTGAGTTCGCGGTACTGGTTCGGGCGGTTAGAATGTACGCGCAAAGACGCTTGCAATTGTGATTACGAAACATGAGATGTTTCGCGTTGCTGTTCTGACTAAACAAAACTGAAGTACAGCAACTCAAATTAAGATTGGTACTCTCCGTTGGGTTTTGTTGCTTGCTCGTATATTTCAGAGCAAATTGCTCTCCGTGGCTATTTTACGTTACTGCCTTTGGCGCAATACAACCATAGTCGATTTTGCGCCACAAGACCCGACACAACACACTCTTTTACGTTGATGATGCAAGGGCATGCAGCTATGCAAAGCGTGCTTGCCTTCGAGTCACTGGGTGCGTGCGTCATTTAGGAACCTCACACATACGGGTTATTTCACGTGATAGTTTATTTGCTCATCCGTGTGAATGTTTACATCTGCGAGTAGAGCTCTCGAGAAGTAATCGTGTATGGTGGCACGCTAGTTCATTGATACGCTAGCTCATCCTTTAGGCGATATAGTTCATATGCGAGATAGGTCCACAAGCCACACTCCTGAAATATGATTGGTGCATCTAACCACTTCACGAAGCAACCATAGCTGTTCTATTATATCAGCTCTGCGCCTTCTGACACATTATTAGGGCTTTAGACGCCTGATCAAAAGCTAAAATTGGCCATTGGCGACATCGCCGTCCCGCGTCGACAGCGTCCCCGCAAGTTGTTGTTTCATTGAATCACAGTCATTGTGAATGCTCTCAGCACATATTCTGTACCCTACACATGGTGAAGCTTGCACCACCGATGCGCCCAGTAAGACACGACAGTTGCACCGTCCCTTCGGGCGCTATCGCGCCAGCTAGCAGAAAGGTTAGCCATAGCAGCCGCACATGAACGTTTGAGCGATGTTGTTTACAGTGTAAAACTTGTTCGCAGACGCCCTACACGATGGATCAAGAAAAAAAAAAAAAACGGGTGTTCTCACCAACGATCACATTTTTACGCTTAACGTGCTTAAGGGTGATGCGCACAAAGTTGACATCCGGTCTCTGCGATGCCGAGTGACTCGATCAAGGCCTGGTCACAAGTACGCGTTGCTCGTGGCACTGAACAGAGCTAATGTGGGCTAATGCTACGCTTGTTAAGATAATTTTAGGATGGTGGTGGTGGTAAAAAACATTTATTTCGGAAAAAGTATACTAGAGAGTGCCGACGTGGCCCATCGGCGTGCTAGAGTGGCAAGACCCTATTCCGGGACGCCAGTGGAGCTGGAAGCTGCCCGTGCGCGCTCCACCAAGGAGCGTTGTGCAGCCAAGGTAGAGCAGCCGAGCAGGTGCTCCTCCCAAGCCTCTCTAG